GCAGAGGGCAGCAGCGGAGGGCGCCGGCCGCCACCCTGGTGCATTCGTGTCGGAGGCTGTAGTAGTCGTACTCCTCGCCGTCGCGCATCAAGCCGAGGTCGAGCGAGAGGGCGCCGGCCTTGGTCAGGCTCGACCAGGCGCTCTCGGTGGCGCACCAGCCGCGGTCAACGTACTTGGCCACGTTGGTGCCCTCTGCCTGGTCCTCCGTCTCGTGGCCGTCCGGGAAGGAGGTCAGCCGCAGCACGGTTGTCTGCGGGTGGGAGTAGAGCGTGCCGAGGCAGCCCAGCCCCTGCTTGAAGAGCGCGTTCTGCTCCTCGGTGCGCATGATGCCGTTGGTGGGGTCGGGGTGCTGGTGCAGCGAACCAAAGTCCCAAAAGACGCCTAGCCGCGAGTAGTGGCCGAGGCTGAGCAGAGCCTTGAGCGCCCTTGCGACGCGGGCGAGGTTGGCTCCGCACGGGTCGGGGTGGTCCTTGGTCAGCCACGGGTAGGAGAGCGCGGCGACGGGGAATGACGGCGCGGCGCTCAATTCCCTGCTCCGGAAGTCAACATTCTCGTTGGTCGCCTCGATGAGGTCGGCGAGGGAGAGGAGGGCCTCGTCGGGCAGCGCCTGGCGGTGAGTGAGGACGCCGCCCGCCTCGGCGTGGCTGATGATCCACTGCGCGTCGAGGAGTGCGACGGCGCCGTTCGCGAGGACCGGCTCCAGGTCGCCGCCGCCGAACTCGCGCCAATTCTTCAGCTCCTCGTCGGTCAGACCCGGTTTTCTCGTGCCGGGACCCGGCTTGCTCGTGCCGCAGCCCATTGCAAATCTGGCACAACGCCTTGTTTGCGCGTTCCCTTCGTTTTTCTTTGTTTTTGCGGAAGCCTTCTCGAGGTTCTCGAGGTGGATATCCTTTGGCCGCGTTGGGTAGCGAGGATTGGTGTAACCCGAGCCACGGAGGCGTGTTTTCTGACGGCCGACCGTCAGTGCACGGAGTTGCCCCTTCTCCGACTGCCCCGGCTAGTTCACGGGTTTCGCGGGAGTGACCCCTGCGTC